ATTTCGTGATGTTATAGAAAGGTAGCAAATTCTTCTCAATTATTTTAAGACCTTGAGTGTTGGTCCGGCCGGGGATCGAACCCTCGACCTCCCACACAACAGTCCAGCGCTCTATCCACTGAGCTATCCAGGAGGCGGTACATGACTAATAAAGACAATTAAGTTTCTTTTGTGTCCATCCTAGTACTTTGCCATGTCTGACTGGTATATTTCTTAAGATTATCATTGCTCTTTGACTTACGTGGCAATTCCTACCATTACTGTGCAAAAATGCTGTATAATTAAAATCTTAAGTGCCACTGCCACTAAGAGCAGTCCTCTCGCCTTCCTGTCCTAAAAAAATTTTCCTTAATTTTTTTCCTATGAAAAGGGTTTAGGACACATGTTTCAAAAATACAGTGTTTGTTTTCCAATTCTCTTTTTCTGCATAGCCACAAGCGAAAATTGACTTTTGGCTAGACCACCCGTGTAGACAACGATCGAAAGTGTAAATTTCACAGCTGTTGTCGAGTGTGCTGCTACTGTAATAGTGTAGTTCACGGAATTCTCTCTTGCCCCGAGTTGTAAGCTATAATCAGTCAGTTCACAGACAAAATATGGAAACTTCAATTGAAATCCTACTCATACTAGCATTATCAGAAGAGACCCTTCCCTCCAACCTTAATTTGCATATAAAAATTAACCAATTTAAAAGAAGGAATTCTCAAAATGCAGGCGTAAATCGGACTAAAAAACATATCGGAGGATAGTTTATACACCAATGAGGTTATCGATTGCTTCAAACCTGCGGGTATCTCTCTAGCTTTCATCCACCATCATCTTGAAAACAACATAAATCAATGTCTTTACTTAATGACACACGTGTCAAAGCTAATTTGCATAATTCTGGAAAATGACCAAGTTATATCTTTGATTGTTCAAACTTCTTTTTTATTAACTTGCATGTAAAGTATTTTAGGTTTTCATAACAATTGGATAGAAAATAAATCGCGAGTTGTCCTAAAACGTAGCATAAGCATGATACATCATACGCTTGCATGACTTATAAAGTAAACAAAGGCGATCAGAAGGCGCTTCCTCGATAATTTTCCTTGGATCAGGTCTAGAGCCATGTACAGAGTGGAGAAGATTAATATTAAGGAATCCAATTTGGCATTCTGGTCATTGCAGACATACTGTGCTACTTAAAAGGACACACAAGTTAAAATACATGTACATTATGGTGTTATTTACAAAACAACCTTCTGCAAAAATTCTTGCAGTTTCTACCGAGGTTTAGCACACGGAATGCAATCAACAGGCTCTCCTTTCTGAACATTTGCTGCCATCACTAGAGATTTTATGTTGTTACAGTCCTCAAAGTTCTTGTGCGACAAACTTAACCTTTTCTTGCGACTGTCAAATCCAGCCAGGCGAACATTGCGTTGCGTGATTATACTAATTAATTGACATGTCATGTGACGCAAATGTTGGTAACAAAATACACCTCTGGTAATAAATAAGTATAAAGTCGAGGAATATGAGTATAAAAATAATTTAGTAAATGGTACTTCAGATTGTCCGAACCTAAGGGTGACATGCCTCTCAGCTTGGAGGTAATTTGTTGATGATAAGGATATCCCAGCCGAGAATAATGTCGAAACGTTGGCAACCCCTTAGTCGAAGCTAGGGACCGGTCATTAAATATAATCTGGGAGGGGTGCAGGGGGGAATCGGAGGATTTTGGTAGTGTTACAATATAAATTCCACCTAAACCCGCCCTAGGGCTTTAGCATGCGGAATGTTCGCTTTCAAGCGGTTCCTTTATTCTTCATTTCGTCTTCGGACAGTGTTTTTTCGTCAAGCGCAGTTTTGCAGTAATCGTAACAATGTAAGTATTATCGTTTCAAGTTGACTCAGTGTATTTCTTTCCTATCACCTTCACCTATTTAGGGTTTAACCCACATCGTTCACCGTCCATAAATCGCCTTTTTTTATCAGTAATTACGGTGTTGATAAGTTACGATTACCGCAGTCACACTCACTCCACAATGGCAGTTAATTTTCGTTAGCCCCTTTAAATTCTGTTGGCGACAACTTATCCCCCCTTCTTTTCCTCTAAAAACCACGTGATCCCCCCAGAATCCTCGGCCCCTGGTGATAAATAGTGACAGGTCCTTTAGCTTCTGTTTCCACTAACTATCCCCACTGCGAATATAACTTATCTCCGTATATAAAATACCTGAAAATTAGTTCATGTAACGATCGAAAGTTATGAAATAGAATCAAGCACAGAGTTAGAGATAGTCTTCCAAAATTTCTTGGAAACAATGGGAATTCGTTACTATGTCACTCAGTCTTGAGTAAGGTGTCCTTCAAATTTCTGCCTTTGAAAGAAATGTCAACAAAAGCACACATTTTCCTCAGCGTGGTGACTTTAAACTTCCCTAACGTGTCATTTGTAACATGTTCGCAAATATTGTGCTCATCATATAATACTGGATAAGCAAGTCTGATTTCGGAAATAACATCCGCTACATCCTTTTACCTTGCTTCGTGTTCAAGGTAACCGCTTTCATCTTCGATGAGACTTTTGTCGTCGTCGTCGTTTGCCTCCTGCTCTGAATCTTTCGGGACTGTGGCCTTTCTTCGTCTCAAAGCAGAGAGCCTCATGAAAAAGCTTTGAACCTGGCTCTCCGTTAGCCAATCATTTCTGGTGATTTTTTTAGGTGGTAGTACTTCAAATGACTTGATACGTCGTCCTGGCATTCCAGGAGGGATATCGGTGCTGAAACTCTTAAATACCTGCAGCCACTACAATTCTTGCTTTCCATGAAGACATTTTTATGCGATAAATTTCTCAAAACATATAAATAACTAAAGAACCTCTCCTCTCCGCTAAACAAACACGTGGGTAACAGACAGTTAAAGCGAGGGAGCTGGATCGCGGCATGTCAGAACCTTCACCTCCTCAAAAATATCGAACAGCGGGGGAGGGTAGACCAATGTGAGCTTAAATACCATCCCAATTCCTTTACCTCAGTCCATTTATAACTTTCGGCTCTAATTCGTTACAATTTACATACCCGCGAAAAAATGCAAGTCATGAAACAAATGAACTAGTTACCATAATCACGTAACGCAATATACCAGGCCGGATTCGGTCGCGGGGAAAAATTAAGCTTGTCCCTAAATAACTTTTTGGATTGTAACGTCATAAAATCTCTAGTGATGGCAGCAAATGTTCAGCAAATAGGGCCAGTTGACTGCATTCCGTGTGCAAAACCTCGGTAGAAACTGCAAGAATTCTTGCAGAAGGTTGTTTTGTAAATAACACCGTAATGTACATGTATTTTAAATTGTTTGTGTCCTTTTAAGCTACACAGTATGTCTGCAATGACCAGAATGCCAAACTGGATTCTTTGATATTGATCTTCTCCACTCTGTACGTGGCTCTAGACCTGAGTCAAGGAAAATTATCGAGGAAGCGCCTTCCGATCGCCTTTGTTTACTTTATAAGTCATGCAAGCGTTACGAGTGATCGTGTTTACGCAACGTTTTAGGACAACTCGCGAATTATTTACCATCTAATTGTAATTAAAACCTAAAATACTTTACGTAGAAGGTAAAATAACGAAGTTTGAACGGTCGAAGACATATCTTGGTCATTTTTCAGAATTATGCAAATTAGCTTTGACACGTGTGTGATTAAGTGAAGACATTGATTTGCGTTGTTTTCAAGATGATGGTGGATGAAAGCTAGAGAGATATCTGTAATGATCCCAAGAGCAATAAAGTATCCAAACAAACAGATTTAGCTCAACTAGTTTCATCGCAAACGTAACATGGCCACCGCTATCAAAAGCACATGGTATTCTCCTATCCCAGCATACTTAGCGGCCTAATACATTACAATACCCGCAGGTTTGAGGCAATCGGTGACCTTATTGGTGTATAAACTATCCTCCGATATGTTTTTTTAGCCCGATTTACGCCTGCATTTTGATAATTGTTTCTTTTAAATTGGTTAATTTTTTATATGCAAATTAAGGTCGAAGGGAAGGTTCTGTTCTGATCACGCTAGTATGAATAAGATTTCAAGTGAAGTTTCCATATTTTGTCTGTCAGCTGAATGAATATAGCCAACAACTTGAAGCAACAAAGAATTCCGTGAACTACACCATTACAGTCTCAGCGCGCTCGACAAAAGCTGTGAAATTTACACTTTCGATCGTTGTCTACACGGGCTGCCTAGCCAAAAGTCAATTTTCGCTTGTAGCGAGGCAAAAAAAGAGAATTCGAAAACAAAAGCAGTATTTTTGAAACATGTATCCTAAACCCCTTTCATAGGAAAAAATTAAAGGAAATTTTTTTTGGACGAGAAGTCGAGAGGACCGCTCTTAGCGAGAGTGGCACTTTAAATGACATCTCTGTTTGGGTCAGATAAATTATGCTCAAAAATTTGAGCATTATGTTGTTGAACGGCACCGCTGAAAACAATGAAATATGCCTAAAAAGATGCTCAGTGTTTTTCTTTATGCTCAATTTAATAATTCAATATAACAGCTAGAAGAGTCACTTACCATAAATATCAAGAATTCGCCGACAGTTGCAAAATGTCATAATTCAATTTTTTTTCCTAAGGACCCTTTTGATGAACCTTTTTCAAAAATTATATCTAAAAGTTCTGTTCGCGCACTTTGCTTTCTCAGTAAAATAAAAAAAGTTCAAAATATGCCTAGATGGCAGTTGTCTCCCCCCCCCCCTCTCTTAGTCGGCGGATTCTCGATATTTATAGAGATATTTATAGCTATTTATATCTTGACAACCTCTCAGCTGCCTCCAACACCTTCAACCAATTTTGTATTTACTGTATACGTCTCCTCTCGGCGACATTATAAGAAGACACGATATGAACTTCCATTTTTACGCGGATGACTGCCAAATTTATTTTTCGCTTGACTCGGTTTCATCAGTTACTAATACGAGAATCGAAGCCTGCCTACAAGATATTGGAACTTGGATGTCATTGAACAAACTCAAACTTAACGTTGATAAGACTGAGCTTTTGGTCATCGGATCGGGCAATCTGTTTGCTTCTCGGCTTCCTTCTTTTACAGCGATTGATGGATCTGTCATACAACCTTCGAACTATGCCAGGAACATAGGTGTAATCTTTGACAATAAGTTAAATAAGGAACGTAAAGTTTCGGCTATTTGTAAATCTGCATTTTTTCACCTCTGGAATATTTCTCGGATTAGAAAGTTTTTGTCAGTTAGTAGTACTAAAGCGTTAGTACTCGCCTTCGTTACATGCAAAATAGTAAGTAAGTAAAAGTAAAGTCTGTTTACGAGCCTAGTGGCCCGTTAGGCCGGTGCTTAACTCCGGTTTCTGTAGCATGAATCGACTAGGAGTATTTCTACTCTCCTCTGGATGGGATGCTTGTCCATCGCAGGGTTACCCCCCAGCATTAAATTTGCCGGTACCCATTTATACACCTGGGTGGAGAGAGGCACTGTGAGAGTAAAGTGCCTTGCCTAAGAACATAACACAATGTACCGGCCGGGGCTCGAACCCGGACCACTCAATCCAGAGTCGAGCGCACCAACCATGAGGCCACCGCGCCTCCACTATAAGCAGATTAGACAACTGTAAATCTCTGTTGTATGGTCTTCCAAAACATTTAGATCATAGATTGTAATTAGCCCAGAATTGTGCAGCACGGCTGATCTTATGTGGTCGCAAGCATGATCACGTTACTCCCCTACTGAGGGAACTGCACTGGCTCCCCGTGGAGCAGAGGATTATTTTTAAAATCTTATTTTTTACTTTAAAAACTTTAAATAATTTATCCCCTAGTTACATCAGTGACTTGTTAAAAACTTATAAGCTCACTAGGTCTTTGCGATCATCGAGTAAGAACTTGTTAGTGATTCCTCGCTCCAAGTTGAAATCTTATGGCGATCGCGCCTTTTCTGTCTCTGCACCTAAGCTGTGGAATGGCATCCCTGAAACCATAAAATGTAGTATAGATCTTAACACTTTTAAGCGTAATCTTAAAACTTATCTTTTTAAACGTTATTTTAATGAATGATTACGTTTGATTATTATTTTACTTTTTACCTTGATTGTGAAGCGCCTCAGAGCTTTTGGATAGTGCGCTATATAAATTGTCATTTATTATTATTATTATTATTATTATTATTATTGTATAACGAACTTTAACCCTTTTCAAGCAAGCCACGCAGACATAAGCATGCATAGGTGTAAAGACACCTACTACTGTTGTTGTTTGTTTCTTGTTGAAATTAAGAGACAACATTATGTAAGTGTGTATATTGCAAGGCTGTTTGATGTGACACCTATTGCAGCCAAAAACACCCACAGTGATTGCCGATTTCCATTTCAGTGAACCGTTCATATAACAACAAATGCAAATCCCAAAAATCCAGCATTCCGCTCCAAGAGCAACAATGAAAAAGTGTCGATCTTTTAAGATCAAAACTTGCTCAAGAAATCAAAAGTTTGCATTTAAAACACACCTCAGGACCAGATCTTGCTGTTTGGCTGGAAAATGCATTCTCACTTTATCCGCTAGCCCTTGTTCTTCCTTTTGACGAAAGCTAGTGTCGCTAACACAACCTTTGCCTCGTTTATGACCGAAAAGAATTCTGGGAGATTCCACCACAACTCGAGAAGGCAACACCTCACATTTCCATTTTAACAAATTATTAGAATCGTGTCGGGCCACCCAGTCCTACCAGCAAAATATCACATCGATCGAGACTTTTTCCGCCCAAAACTGACCCAAAAAGCCTTGGTCGGTTCTGGTAGCCATCCACAGATGGGCCAGAGACACGACTTCACTTGTGAACTCGCCAAGCTTGCATGAAAGAATTTTGGCGGTCAAGTCTACATGAAACCACCTCTCACCTCTGTTTTCTTTCAGAGGCTTCCCTCTACCTACGTTCCAGCTTAATGATGCTGTCCTAATGGCTTCTGTAGAGGGAAAATGGCTCGAAAAACACTTATAAACGCGAGAAAACAAATCGATTTGAACGCATCAAACACGAGCGGGTGATCTAGGTCACGTGACCCCGAAGTCTGAACCCACGGTGTCTCAAAACCGCAAATATTGTATGGAATACTTCATATAACGACAAACAAAGTGAGCTTGAGTTTTATATGGCCAAATTATAAGACTTTTTGCCTGCTGGAAAAGGTTTAATGGGCGGGCCATGTTAAGGAGCTATGTACGTTATTGTAATTAGACTTGACACCTTGTTACTAAAGGTGACTTTATAGATGTTGGACTAAAGTTGAGCAATTTTTTGAAAGTGCACTTTGTTTTGAGGCTGGAAGTAAAACGAAACTAGCTACTAATGCCGTTAACAATAATACATTTTAAAATTGAAAAAGAAAGGTTTGATTCCACTTTCAAAACACATTACTAAAAAAAGAATTATTTCAATGCTATGACGCTCTTGACCTTAAGTGTCGTAAAAAAAAACTACCAATAGGAAGCGATTTCTTCAGCACATTCCATAACAGAGACTGTGACTCACTATATTACAAAATGGCCATTTTTTCCTGAGGCGAAGGAAGTTTTAATTACCAATCTAGTTTCAAGTTTTATTTTTACTGCTTATTTGAGCTATTCGACAAGCAAAACATTACAAAAATTGCCACGTCCAGTAGCCGGTTTCAATTTCTTGAAGTCTTCATATCCAGAAAACATCTGAGGGGTTTTTTGCAAGGTGGGAAACAAACGTTTACTAATCATATTGTAATTATCCCAGGGAGAGACGCGAAGAGGAATTGCTTAGGGAGGCTAAAAAACAGTTAAAAGGCGTTAAAAAGGAGGGAGAAAAATTGATTTTGAAAGAAGAAGATGGAATATGAAACATGTTGCCATGAATCCATTAAATTTTTAACTGAACATTTCTTTCCCTTTCTTTGATTCAGCTCTAATTTATTTGCCTTTCACAGGTTTCCACCTCGCTTCCCACAATTTCATTTCGATTTGAAAGGCTAAACGAAAAATTTAACCTCTTATCAATCAATGAATCCAAATGATAAAATATCATGGCATCCTTTAATGAACGTTAGCCATCTATCAGTTATGAATTGATTTTGTGAAAGATTTATAAACAAACGGTTGTTTAGGTGAGGTGCAATGCATCGATGGGCCCTCTCCCTGATTAGATTCACGACATGGATAGACCAAATTTAAAAACAGGTAGACTTCCACGTAGAGTGAGTACCTGTACTAATAGCCAACGATTTATCATCTTAATTCTGCAGGTAAAACGAAATGATACGACTTTGCATGCAGGCTTGTGTTCTGAGTTCAATGCTGTTAGCCGTTTCGGCGGGTAAGAATAACTATTATTATTAGTGAAATGCAGCAAATCAAATATCGCAATTTCAAAATTACTGCTCTATCATGGGCCGCGACATGTTAATGTGTTCGAAAAGTGCTCTGAATTAAGCTCTTTAAAATAAATTACATTTGCCTTTCGTACAACAAATTTTCAGTACGTTGTAAGATATTGAGATAAACTTGAAACCAGTTTCTTCTACCCATGAGGAACTACAGCCTAGCGAACGTAGTTAGAGCAAAATATTTCTTGGCTGCCAGTTAAAGGGTTGTTCCATTCAGTTCAGAAATGGCTCCTTAGAATATTTCTCCACGCGAAATGCAACATTTGTACAACAGTATAACAACAGCTACTTTTTAATTAAGAAGATATCATTCGAGTGGAAAAGCCAAGATATATTATCCCTTTAGGGGACAGTCATTTTTTAATGCCTGGTGGGTGGGGAGGCGAGAGAGAGGTCGAAGGATTCTAGGCAGGATTCACCAGGTTTTCAGGGGGGGGGGAGACAGAGGCGGGATCAGTTGTCGCTATCAGAACATAAAGGGGTGACTAAAGAATATTAACTGCCAACGAAGGGGGAAAGGGGTCATTAGAATTCTACTGAGACTTAAGAGACACAACCAATTCCTCCAACCACCCCCACCCAAAATCCTCCGACCCCTCCCCGACCCCAGATGATAAATGGTAACCAGTTCCTTCCTTGCTCCGATCTTCTGTTGTCCTTTTGCTTTGCAAACAATGACGTTTATGTTATTTTAACTAATATCAGTTTTACTGTTCGTCCAACTTTTTCGTGCGTGTCATTCAACAAAATATCGGCGGCTTTTCGCTTATTGCCTCTACCCCCCCCCCCCCCAGGGATGACAAGTATGTAATTTCTCAATATCACCCCTGAATCACACATCAAGGGCGCGCTAATAAAATAAATAATCACAAACTCAAATTCTCCTTGTCAGCACCTTAGGAAATGTATAGAGAACAACATGGAGAACATGCATACTGATCTTAGGATACAAAATGTTAAAACAATGCCTTGTAATTCTTCTCAGTGTCTGGCTGCACGATTGATCTTGGTTTGATTGTGGATGTAACACGGAGTATCAAAAAAGAAAACATCGTTACTGTAAAAGCGAGATTGGCCAAACTGGTGCAACAGTTTGGCGTGTCAGAAGATGGCACACACGTATCATTGGAAACATTTGATAGTAAAAGCACCATCCATAACTATTTCAAAGAAACCGATCACCACAATGAAGAAGCTGTTCTTCGTCTGATAGACCATGCTATCGACAAACTGTCTAAGCCAACTCGACTGGACCTTGCTTTGAAAAAAGCTGATGAAGAAATGTTTACCAGGGCGAATGGAGACAGGGCTGGAGTGGAGAACGTAATGGTTCTGTTCACAGATGGTCGATCACATCCCTCTCAGACTGAAACTGATGTTTACAAAACATACGTGGAAAATATGAAGGTAAGGCAACACTGAGGAACTTGTCATTATTTATCGCCTGAAGGAAGGAGAGGGGTGCTGGAGGATTGTTTTTTATTGGGGGAGGGGTGTTAAGGATTTTTTTGGGGGGGGTCAGTCACAAACAGAATATGAAAGGGGACAATAAAAAATTGACTGCCCATCAACTGCCAAGTAAAGGACTGGCGGCATAAGAATATTAAAGAGTGTTATGGGAGATTCAGGAAATATTTTTCTACACACAAGTCACACAACCACCAACTCAAAATGAAAAGTAGAGATTGGTTTTAGCTTTGCATCTGAGGACTCGTGCAAGATGCAGAAATGGGCTTATTTAAGGAAAAAGGCCGTGCACTGGCCTAGCCCTGACATTGACATTAACAACTTTTGATTAAGTGAATAGCTGTAAGCGCCCTAGTATCCTCGTACACAGATGCTGCCGCTTAGCCATGTTAAGTCTGGGAGCGAGGCTAGCGCCCTAGTTCCCGCCCCCACGAGCTTTATTAGTTTTCAGGGCTTACTCGAACGAGGTTCATAGGAAAAAAATCCGAATTGCCTCCTAAATTTAATGAATAATGCAGATAAAAAGCAATTGATCGCCCGCGTAATTTGCACAGAAATTGATACAAGCTTTCAAATACAAGTGTATTCCATATTTCAACAATACTTAGTCCAAACGAAACAATAGAGCTACTCAGTATTTTAGAAATTTTTGATCGTAGTTTAGAAAGGGGCAGCCTGGTATACACGTAAACTTCATGACGGGGGGGGGGGGCGCTTATGAGGAAAGGGACATGTCAGAAAAAGGGGGCTAACAAGACTGAGGACAATAATCATTGGTATTTAATTTTGCAGAAAAGAGGTGTCCGTGTGTTCGTTTTTGGAATTGGTCCGGATTCACGGAAGGAAAAACACCAGGAAGTGTTGAGGCTTATTGGAGGGGATGCTGTGTTCTTAGCCCAAGATTATGGCAATATCGATGAAGCGATCAAAAACTTCATGGATTTGATGTGTCGTATGTACTCTATGACTCTATCAATAACATCCTAGCCTGTATATGCTCATTATATTGTGGACTGTCCAAATATCATAAAACGGTGTTTTCGACCCGAAATCGAATGCACTTTTCCGATTTCTCTGTCTAAAACTAGGTATTGTAATAATTTGTTTTTGAAGATCAAAAACTCCGCCCTCGTGTAAATACTCAGCCAAATCGGAGTTGTAAGTTAAAAAAGTAAGGACAGATCTAGTTCTGGGCCCAGTTATGAGGTTCGATTCTAATCTGAGTTTCTTTAATCCTTTGTTCAAAAGTATTTTTTAGGATAATATTCGCTATACTTTTTAAAGCACCCAGTCATCAAGTTGTAGACAAAAAGAATTCCACTTAATTTTCTTTTAAAGCTTTTAGATCTGAAATCAGATTTCACACTAACCCTCAGTTATCTTAACCCAGCTTTGAACAACGCGGCCCTGATCACACTTGAATATGTTAACGTAAACTGGCCACCGTAAAGAGTTTTTAAGCTACCTTTTCGAGTTTCAGCTTACAAACTCTTTACGGTGGGTAATTTACATTTATCAACTCCATTAACCGCCTCCCGGTTAGCTCAGTTGGTTGAGCGCCGGACTGCTGTGCGGGAGGTCAGGGTTCAAGCCCCGGCCGGACCAACACTCAGGGTCTTAAAATAACTGAGGAGAATGTGCTACCTTTCTATAACATCAAGAAATGGATAGACAGTCTAGTCTTCTCGGATAAGGACGAATAAACCGTAGGTCCCGTCTCCTGCATCTATTAGTTAATTTGGTTAGGCAGGGTACGTTAAAGAACCCACTCACGAGAATACTGTGATGTGGTCTGGCCTGTTTACTGGGAATTGGGGGGAGGGGGCAACTGTTAGATTCGCCTTTCAATGATTGTAAACTGCTTAGCAGTCTGGTAAAGTCCCCCGCACAGTGTTGTAAAGCACCATGAGCTTAGGATATGAGCGCTATATAAATAAAAGGTATTATTATTATTATTTTTATTATTATTATTATTTGATAAAACCAAACTATCTACTTATACTAGACATACCACCGACGCAGCCCCCTTTATTCACTTGAATATAACAGTTGTTGTTATGCGTTTGTTTGTTTATTTGTTTGTTTGTTTGTTTGTTCCTCATTTGTGTTTTTCATTCTCCTTTTCATGTCAAAAGCTTGCAAGAATTCTGAAGGAATGGACTTGGCCCTTGTGGTGGACAAGACAGCCAGCATTGGAAGGGAAAACTTCTTGTTACTCAAAGGTTTTATCCTTGAGCTCGTCCAAGGACTGCCAATTGGGCCCGACCAGACCCACACTGGAATTATTCTGTTTGCCAGGGAACCAACGTTGTTGAATACTTTTGCGGACATAAGGTACCACAGCAGCGAGGCGTTGTACAATCTTGTTGACCGCATCGATTCAAGATTGGGCACAAGAACGTTCATCGACAAGGCGCTGAACGCAGCGAACACTTCACTGTTTACTACAAAGGGAGGTGATAGGCCTTATTTCCCAAACATGCTGATTCTCCTTACAGATGGAAGAACAAATAGAGCCTCGGAACCATACGCAAATATCATTCCTTCACTTAAGGTAGGACCTTTCCGTTACACTTTTTCATAATGCAATTCATTTAAGGCCGTTTTGTGTCACAGAAGGTGAGCAATGCCTTTATTTGGCCATAGTGGTATCTCCCGAGTAAGGTAATCCCAGTCCAAGAGACCAGTGATTACCGCCTGGGATGGGAGGGTCGGAGGATTTGGAGGGGATCCCATGGTGTGGGAACGGAAGGGAAACTGGGGTCGCAAACAAGGTATAACTGAAGGGAGACTATTGAAGACTAATTGTTAATTATTTGCCAATGAGGAGGGACCGTGAGAATCATTACAGAGCCTTTTGGGAGGATCAAGTTATTTTATAACGATACAATCAAAATCCTACTAAACCGAAGCCCTCCATCTCCCTCTGAACCCAGGAGATAAATAACGACCAGTCGCTTAGAGTTACCAAGAAATAGTCTCATTCATCTAGGATTTTCAGTACTGAATCAATGACGATTTTTTGCAGGCTAAAAACGTTAAAATTATCGCTGTTGGTATCGGAGATTATCGGAAGTTTCGGGGTCAACTGGAAGAAATTGCAGGAGACTTCGTTTTCAACGTCCAAGGTTTTAGCGAAATATCCACTTTGTATAACGGCATCATGTCTGAAATCTGCGGTAAGTATGACATCTTATCATAATACTACTGAGGCGACAAAATCAAATTGTACTTAGAAAAAGACACCAGTCAATTAGTCGATGATGTACCTTGGTCGCGCGTTTGTCACCGGTGGGGTGGGGTATTTTCAGTTTGGTTGACTAGCTTCAACTTGATCGTGCTCCCTTAAAATGAAGGTGCCGGTTGTTTGACAGAAGCCGTTGAAAGCATTGTTAGTTGAGAGGACTGGTTAGGAAACGCGGTAAACTTCAAAGGGCCGACCTCTTGTCTGTCCCCTCTACCAAGTATGTTGAAAGTGGTCAGTTTTGGGAAGGAAGCTAAGTTTGTTCGTGGGAATTTCATGCTGTGTCTTACGTTGGCTACTATGCTCCTCCCCGAAAGTTCATGTTGTCGTCATCTTTGATGTTGGTGGGTGGATTGCAATAACTGTATAGCGCGCACAAAAGCCACATCTCTCATTTGAAAAGTTAACAGTTAGGAGCCAATTCGAGTCCTTCCCCTCTGTTCCCTCGCGCTCCATGCCCAGAATTAGGAGACTTTCTTTATTCACACTAATATAACTAATGCACTCAAGGTTATGAATTTTTCGCTGTTTTCAGAAAATAAATAGTTTTATTAATTTCTATTGCGCAATTATCAATATAAATTTTCAATTGCGCATAAAAAGTCCATGAAAAGTCCGGACAGGAGGTGAAATAGAATGCGAGTTAATTACTCTCCCACGTTCAAGGTACCGATGCTTTGGGTTAATGTTTCTTTAGTATTAATGGATAGTGAAACGCTCGAAATAAGCGTGAGATTGAAAAAAACACCAAGCAGTTTGTGTGACGTGTGTGTAGAGGTGGGGAGAAAATGCTTTATCTTATTCCATTCCCTCGACGGCGCCTCTTTATCCAAGCAAAGGTATAGTGTTAATTAAACACGGTTATTAAAGTCTAAAAAATAGTTTACAGAAAGTAAAGTGCGCCCAACAGTTCTATTAACCGCGGCTTTGTCTCCTCTTTTGTAGGATGAGTACTTGAAGCAGTATTCAGCGGTTTACTTAGGGATTGAAAAACGAGATGTGTCAAGTAGAGTAATGTAATGGGCACTCAGTAAATATATATGACAGTACGTAAAAAAAGGTGTTGAGAGGTTTTATCTCCTGAAAGGACCAGTCATCATTTATTTCCTTGAGGGGGGGAGGGGTTGGATCTCAATCATTAATCGTGATTTCATGCCACTTTTGAATGGTTTGGCCTCCCTTACTTTCGAGATATATTTTCGATGGTCCATATTTTTGACGATCGAGAAAACTTTTTCATCGGTCAAACAATTTTTTTTACGGGTTGAGAATTGTTTGGTAGATTGAGAATTAATTTTGCCGATCAAGAATTTTTTTGCCTATCGAGAATTTCTTTTGTCGATGCAGAATTTTTTTGTCGATCGAGGAAGTTTTTGCCGACCGAGAAATTTTTTGTCGATCGAGAATTATTTTGTCGATCGAGAAATTTTTTTCGAGCGAGAATTTTCCTGATGGTCGAGAATTTTCTTTCGTCGATCGAGAATTGTTCTGTCAATCAAGCTGGTCAGCGGGCGTTTTCGCGCCAAAATATGATCACGTAGGACATCACATGGTACTAACGAAAATGGAAAGCATACGCCAAAATCCGTCAGAAGGACGTCATCTCGGGTCGATTTCTGATTATGAAATCCGAGCTTGCCCGATGTTGTGTTCATGACGAAGGCTCTATTTAGCATTTTAGACTCGCAAAATAGAGTAAAATGAACACGTACTCTGTTTTCGCTCATGATTTTGTATTAGCGTAAAAGATATTTTCTTCTATTTTTCCGTTGCTAAGCCATATTACAGTTCACAAAATGTAATTACTGACGTTTGAGTGACATGGAAACGAATTAGTCAGAAATCAATATTCTGATAGCATGTTGAAGAGGTTCGCGTGCCATCATGGCAGTTCGGATTATTTAAGCGTTTCGCGATAAAATTAAGTAATTCTAGGTCGGTCAGTCTTAGATTTGACCACTTTCTTTTTTCTTTTGTGATGCAATTTTGTTTTACAATTCTCTACAAAATATCACAACATTCATCGACTTTTCTGTGATTAGTATTGTAACCAGGTTATATACCCTTTCCTCCGGGTTTCGTGCTGCTGCATTAGATGAGGCATACGTTTTCACATATTTTTTGGCCACGTCTAAAGAGTGTCTTTTTTAAGTGGCTTTTCGTATCTGGCCTAGCGCAGGCCCTTTTTGCAGAACCCTTCAGTTTCAGTGAATACATGCAATGCATTGCAGATTGTATCAGGATGCGTATGTTACAAAAATGCGGTCGGCATTTCGAGTTTTTCAGAGCGTTGACTAACTTGACATGTGGTCAACTAAAGGCGTAAAATGTTGGAAAACTTTGGAAGCGAAAAAAACCCACTTTTTTTTACGGCGCGAGTGTGTCTTCTTTGGAAGAATTAATAGGGTATGAAACCTTTACGGATTAACTTGAAATTTGGTCCGGAGGCTCCCAAGATACCAATCTGAAAAAACGAGTGGGGCTTTTCTGTTTTTCGAAATTGATCTCCCCCAGTGGTCTCCAGCGTAACGCGTATCGGTAAAATTTTGATAACCGAACTTGACAGAAAGATTGCAAAGCAACCAATAGGAATATCGAAAAAAACCCCGCACAGTTTTAGAGACTAACTCCTTGAGATTGAAACTGTGCAGAAGTTTTACTTGTACGGGTAAATTTGATACCTGATTAATTCGCTCAAAGAAACATCGTCCGTTTCGAATTGTCACGCCTTAGTCGACTTACGATTAGATCAAGCTAAAACGAAAGAATTTAAGGTGGCTCGTACCAGTTTCCTCGCGCGGGGAACAGGTCACTCTTGCGTAACGCGCGCGAGAGAAACGTGCGAAAGAAACGCGAGATCAAAAGATGAAAATTCAAAACAAACATAGCGGCGCGTGGAATTTTTTCTACTTTTGTGAGAAGTTTACCTACGAGCTTGTATTTGATGTGTTGAGCGGCTACTGTGAATGCAGGAGATAGAGACTAAGATAAAGAAGACGATTTTTGGAGAAGTAAAGGTTGCTTCACTTCACATTTAAAAGAAATATTCAACCGATATGAAATCTTGCGGCTGCGAAAAAAGAAGAACTCAAGTGAAGGATAATCTACCTGAAGTGGAAGAAGACTTTGAAACTTAAAGGAAAATAATATGATATAGCCAGAAGTCGTGTGTAGGATTTTTAAGATGAGCCCGGGAGGCTATCTTTGACAGCTGTTTAATGATTTTCTTAATTAGCAGTAAACGTATGTAAACATCAGATCGTAGGCGCGCGCACGAGCACACGCAATTGTCAGCGGTAGCTATAACAGATCATGAGCAAATGTCGATCTTATAGAATCCAGATTTTTAAATGCGCGAGAACGCGCGTGGAAATTGCTAAACTCACGAAAGCTATTGCATGAAAACAAGTCCGGTGACCCCTTCTTTTTATTGTTCCAATATGAT